TTATTGCGATTAACCACCTCGTTTACTTTCTTTCTTAGTGGAAAATCTTTAAAATATCACACTGTCACAGAATCATTTGACGTTGTTGATTTACAGACAAACCTCTCTTAGCAAGAGTCTCTTCAATTTTTCGTCAGCATCTTCAGGCAAGTTTCCAACACGAACAATCTTCTCATCCGGGGATGAATTTTTGGCGAGAGCTTCCAAGAAATTGTTCAAGGCGTGATTCTTATAGGTCACAACCTGTAAACCAGGATATCAAAAATAAGACAGCGCTGATGATGGAAACCTTAAAAAAAGGAAACAATGTGAATCCACACAAAAAGAGAGTATATGGTGTCAAGGCTCTGCTCAACTGTACTCGACACTTTCTTAAATTATCCTTAATTAGTAGAAAAAGGTGAGTAGTGCTATAAAAGCATCACAAAGCTGTCCCTGTTTCTGAGCACTCAAGAATAAATCATGGATTTTTATTATTATTGTATATTCTTTGAGGCGTGAAGGTAACCATAGTAAAATAAATTTGAGCTGACCTTGTTAACCCCTTCACTCCTTAGATCTGATTTACTTAGATCTGTAAATTCCCTCATATAGATGCTAAACTTTTTCTTGTAAATCAGTTATGAGAATTTGCCATTAGATCAAGATGACGACTTCTACCTAATAAGTTTGAGTATGCTCTTCACCTGTTTTCTGGATAATGTAGGAATATTATTGGGAGAAGCTACCTCTTAATCACTTCTGGGAGTTAAAGAGATAAGGAAACTTTTGGCAAAATTCCACTTCAATTTGAATCCTCACAAACTCTGATCTGTGAGTCTGCAGGGGCAAGGTTCCTATTCCCTCGCAAGTTTGTTATGCAGACTGGAGGCACCTAACCACGCACTTATGACATAAAGACTGCTGGACAGAGGGTTTTTTTTACCAGAATAGGTCCATGGTTTTGTGGCACCTTCATGGACAAAAGAAGGCGCACTATGGCCACACCCACATATCACTTTCCAGTTCCTGGAGGACCCTGTGTAAAAAAGGAATAGCTAGGATATTTCATATGACCAAATAATTCAATGAGAAATGTTGGGTGGATACAAGTTAAAGCATTACCTGAATCAGCACAAGCTTGTTTTTTAGTGCCAGTTCCACTGCTGCAAGCTGTGTTGGATCCAGTTTGGGTTTGAAGTTGCTGTTCATCAGCATTCCCTCAAGATCTTTTACAGGTGAGTAAGAAGACTGTTTTTCCTGACAACTCAGAGACTCCTTATGAAAGATTATCTCCCAATCTGGGGGACTTTTTATGTCATTTAAGTATTCAGCTGGCTCAAAGTAGTTTGGTTTTGGGTAAACCAAGAATTCTTTAAATGGAACATGATCTAAAGAAAAAATGGGAAAACAAGCTCATGTATTTAATCTCTTCTCGCGTTACTGACTGATATTCAAATGGTAATGTTCCTTAACAGTATGTCATTGATATGACAGCCAATTCTTAAACTTGAATGTGTTGTAAAGAGTATGTTAGGAATTTTAAAGAAAGTAAACAATGGGTGCAAAACATTGCTGCATTGTCCATTTTAATCCAGTTAAGATCTAGGGTTGATGATAGGAACACTAGTAGGGAAGCTTTAATGAAATGTCTCTTGGCCAGATCTCTTAAAAAAGAAAAAAAAGTGCAAACCGTTTGATAACCTAATAGCTATTTCTAAATGGTTCTTCTGTAGTAGAAAAATCAATTACATAAAAATATACATGTACATTTAAGTAGCCATTAGACAATAAAGCTAAAAAAATTCATGCTTGAAAAGAATTCCAACCTATAAATGCCCTGAAAAACCAGTTCTGTACTCTTTAACCAGTGAGCTGGGCCATCAAGCAATCTGAGAAAATGTAGCTGACTGTTTAAATGTGACTTAATTTGTACTAACTCTGTAATGGATGCATGATTTTATTGAAGGGAATATCACGAGAATCATTTAATAAAATTTAATCAAATAGAGAGAGGATCTTTATTTTAAAATCCAAATGTGTAATATCCTTTATCTCATTAAAATAAACATCATTGTCTAACCTTTGCGTTGCAGTACTTCCATGGCTGAAGCGTATGCCTGATAGAATGTGTGGCTCTGTGCCATGTATGCTTCATCATCTGAAAATCAATAAAAGGCCTAAATGAAACATTAACCAATTGACCTGGCCTACTCATCCCCTGCTTCAGCTCATTGAGCAATGCACTCTCAATTGTCCCAATGAGTCTGAATCTATCCAAGGATTCCCAACCTCAAGTTTGCAAGTTACTTTATTCCAATAATAAATTAAAAACTGTGAAATACACATATAGCCTTTCATGATAGCATCAGGTGTCTTGCTAGTATGATTTCTACTCAGACATGATTCAGAACTTAAAAGCAATTTGCACTCAAAATCCATATTCCAAATTCTAAATTCAAGATTTCTCAAATTAACCAAATTAAATCAATAAAATGCCACACAACATTTCAATAAGTAAATATGAAAGCTGTGTTGTATTTGAAAAAACTGGCCTTTATTTTTAAAACTAATAACTAACTGTTTTATTCCCTTGACAAAGTTTAATGAACGATTGGTAAGAACAGCCTACAAACTTACTTTTGTTTGTAACCTCTTGTATTTGTGTAATAAACTCTGCTTCTGAAAGGTCATTTTTGTCACAAAGAGTAATCCTTACAATGCTGGATTTCAAACAACAATATAAATCAATTAACTTTATTTACAGTAGGTTAAAAATTGAAAGTACAAAGTAGTCACCTGATGTGGACCTTCATGTACTACATACAACATTATTCTATTAAAATTATAAGTGTGAATTAATATTTATCATAATAAATGAAATATTGGTTTTTATTCAAGATTATTAAGAAGCTTCCCTTTGATATGATATGTGGACCATTTGAATTTAGTGCTTATTTCTTAGAGCATACTCAAAATAACTTATGGAGGGAGCCTTTTTTAGACTGATTGGTATTCAATTCCAGTAAAAATGAAAGTTGAAAGTTGAATTACATAAATTATTATCAGAATCATTAGTGTATGGCAGTAACCCAGATGAAAATTGGAAGAATAACATTGCACGATTATATTAAGTACAATGTTCAACAGAAATGCAGAATCCGCATTAATATTTTAATATTTAGATACATCAGAGGCCTCGTCCATGTATATACTGCCCAGGAAGTTTTTTCCCAATTAGTTCTCAATTTATACTTAAGATGTTTGATTTTTAATGTTAAAATTCTCTTAATCTCAACAAATTTGATGGGATTGGAAGAATCTTAACATTTGTGTATTTTTGATTCATCATTAAGAATTCAGACTTAAAGTTAATTAAAGTAATTTAATTACCTCTGGTCAGAAATATGATCTTCTACCAAACCCCAGATCGGTTTTTGAAAAGAGTTATCCAAGGAAATACACAGCAGATCTCCATACATGAGGAAATCTTGGCTGGCAAAGATACAATGAAATAATGTACTCAGTTATAATGATGTCAAGCTAAAAGAAGAATCTTCTCAAAAACAAGTGATCCAAAAATAAACCATATTTAATAATTTATGAACTTAATACAGTGCTCCATGCTGGAACTCCCTTGCAAACTGAATTCCCAGTTTTCTGGGAATTCCTAGGAGGAATTCCTAGAAGGGTGGAATTCTTAGGAATTTCTGGGAATTGAATTTGAGGCAATTTCAATATCCTGAGGTCCACATAAATTCTAAGAAATTCTCAATACCTTAAATGTGAAGGTTTTAAGAAAAGGAGTAATTTCAGAGGCTTAAAACCTTGGCTCAATAAAAGGTATGCTATACAAAACTTACCAAGAGATATACATACATGTATACGTTTATAACTTAAAGATCATGAATTTTATTAATTCAAACTAAGTTTTAGTAAATCTCTACGTTAATATTGATTTTCTTATGAACCAGCAGTCAATTATGTTAAATGGAAATTGCCAATTAATCCAATGTACTCATATCACAGATTTGCTTTCTAACCTCAAAGGACTTTTGGATTCCATGATCATAAAATACTTTTATTGTGATGCAAATTAATGTCTCATGTCCACTGATGTGCCAAAATCATCAAACATTCATAAGCTGTTCCTTGGTACACAACTTCCACAATAATTAACAATAATTACATTGTTATCAACACTTAAAGAACTTTGTTAGTTATGAACATAACCTACTTCCCTAACCTACATTACTGGTTGCCTTTGTTAGAAAACCTTGAAACAGTCAAGCTCAGTTGCCTCAAACACTGTCAGAGACTTTTTGTTGACATTATTTTTATTAGAAATTTCATGCCTTAGACAAACAAATTCAACACCTAATTAATCTTTCGTTTTTCATGATTGTTGTTGCTGTTTTTTTTTCAGTTTTTTGCTCTGTTTTCGCAACTAATTGCTGTAATTTGTTTTGCTGTTTTTATTCTTACAAAACATTTTTGTAAGAGATCCAATACTTGTGGATCATCCACACACTTTGCAAACATTTGGCATGCAGACAAGACAGAGGTAGTCAATGTTCCCTTCGAGAAAAAACACCTTTTAAATGACATCTTCAATTTACTTTATTTGAAACTCTGATCTAAAAATATTTGTCAACAAGACTTGGTAGTAAGTGAGAAGTACAAACCAAGTTACCTTTCTTCTAAACACTGCAATCGGCAAGCCAGCGGATTCACACTTTGCTAGCCAATGACAAGTCCTAAAAGATCCACGCGATCATGCCCGTGATCGGAAACAAAGAAGACTCTATTTGGCGCTCATCTTTGAATGTACTTTTCATCGGTTGATCGCTTTTCTCAACTGTTTTGCTTAATATAACATTTCTAAAGATAGCTTTTATTGTGGTTCAATGGGAAAACGAGAACAGTGTGAGTGTTGTAAAAGAAAAGAAAGTTTTTGGCGCCATGGAGTTAATAAGTTCAATGGGAAAACGAGAACAGCGTGAGTGTTGTAAAAGAAAAGAAAGTTTTTGGCGCCATGGAGTTAAAAGAAGGGACAACAGCTGACATATTTACTGGTACAACCAAGGGTCGAGTGGCCATCTATAAAGCTACGATTTTGAAAGTTTGTGGTGAGTAAAAATTGCGATATTCGTTATGTGATCAAAATCTTATAAAAGAATAGATGTAACGGGTTGAATTAAGCTTACATAACGCTCGGCGCAACTGAAACTATAATGATTCTGAGAATCGAATCGGTCACTTGCATGCCGCAGTTTCTTAAGCTTATGCTTGACAATGAAATAAATCTATCAGTAAGGTTTCAAGATTCCTTTTAAGTCACGTTTGGGAACATTCAAGGTTCATAATAGGAACTGTTATTAAACAAACCTTATTACAAAAAGAAGCCCTCCTTAGTAAAAACAAAATAATGTATTCAGCCCTTTTTTAAGTAAAATCTATGGGAGAGATGTACCAACTCCAATATAAAAGTCACTCAATATAACAGAGATTTCTTAATTTGAGAATCCAATGAATGCACTTTTTCTTAAAGCCATCTTAAAGGCCTGGTCTGAGCTTTAAATATATATATTTATAAAGGCCTGGTCTGAGCTTTAAATATATATATTTATAAAGGCCTGGTCTGAGCTTTAAATATATATATTTATAAAAATTTTTTTTTTCAAATTCAGATGTCATGGAATCCAGATGCAAAATGGTCAAGCTTCTTGTAGACAACCTCATTCAAGGCCAACTCATTGTGAGCCCAGGGAAAAAAATACAAACAGCAGCTAAGTTTTCAGTTTAGGATAACTTCATTCTAATTTATTGTTACAGTTACAACAATATTTTAATTAAAAAATCAATTTTATTTATCTGTAATTCCCTTCACTCCCAAGAGTGCTTGGTTTTCAAATATAATTTAAGATATTGTATTTTATGGAAAAGAATCAACAGATTTTATCCACAATTTGTGTCAAACCAAATTTAATAATTGAATAGGACTATTTTATATGAGTAGCTGTAATTGAGGATTAATCCATATGAAGTTTTCAAGAAAAGAAAAATAAACCATTCTATCCTAATATTACCACACGTTGATGTTAATAATTAATCAAAAATATTTTACATGTAAGCCTTAATTAAGCTTGTAAATAACTTTCATTGAATACTTGAATTTTAGCTGGGTTTTTTTTAATTTAAAGTATTTATCATTAGCCTCAAATTTTTGCTTAAAATTCTCAGTAATTATTAAACATTCCTAAAAATTCCTGAAAATTCCCAGAAATTCCCTAAGAATTTTTTAGATTTACAGCTTTTCAGGGTTCTCTGAGTTGGAATTCCTAGGAATTCCAAGTCCTGTTGGCTATAAACTTGGAATTTCTGGGAATTTCTGGGAATTTCTATGTTTTTAGAACCAGAGTTGTTACGGTTGGGAATTCCTAGGAATTCCCAATCCGAATTTACCATGAAAATTCACACCTTTATTCCTAGGACTTCCTAGGAAAAAATTCCCAGGAATTTATAGGAATTCCAAAATCCATTTCACAAGGGCAGTGTTTTGGTCCCCATGGCAACTACTCCTTTTCATAGTTTGAAGTTAATTTGAGAATAATTAACAGTTTCATGTAAAATTACTCAAGTTATGTCTTTTTTTAATAAAAATTTGCCTCTTTTCCATGGCTTCCCGAGTATTACGTCTCAACATGTCACATAAATCTCTAAACTTAATGTCAGCCAAACTGCTTATTTTCAAGAGGAAGTTAAGTGTGGTCAGTGGTTAAGTACATTAAACAGTTAAGTTATAAGCTTTGGGTCTGTAATATGCAATCCTGAAATCAAAGGATATTTGTACCAGGATAGACTTAATAAATAAACTACTTAAAGCTGGTTCAGTTACATATCAAAAGAGCAACAAGATAACCAAACTCTTTGATGAATGTACTTACTCAAGCTGTTCATCACTTTTTTCAGATGACTCTGATTTCTTGTACTCCAGTGAAAGTAACATCATAGTTGGAGAATTTTCATGATGAAGAGAAGTTCCTCTCAGGGAAACTCTGAGAATATCAAATTAATTACACACATTGAAAGCAATAATGACAAGCATACAAGTTTTGTGCATTTACAAGTACATGTAATGTAGTCTAGTAAAAGAGACTACTACATGATAACATCATCCATAAATTCATCTTAGGAAAGCATTTATGACGATGTTATTGTAATACTTGTTTCTTGTAGAAGGATAAGATAAATCAGATGTTGTTCAGCAGAATTTAAGGTATCAGTATTCACAACCTGTTCACATACTCCTGATGATATCAGAAAGTGCCAAACCAACCTAAATATCATCCCATGTGAGAGTAAAACAGCAATTTGTTTTATACCTGTACATTGTCATATCTTTTGAACTGCATTTGTATCCATTTTTAACAAAATCATGAATTCCTTTGCGTAACTTATAGAAGCATTCCTCTCTGAGAAGTCTGAAGTATGTATTTAAGTATTCCTCCTCTGATTTGTATGGTCCTCGCTGTCTTATCACTGGCAAGTCATCTGTCCTTAATCCTAAATATAAAGACTGCATGAGTATTTATAACACAACTCCATCACCAAAGCCATTGCCAGCTTTCGAAAAACATTTTAACTCCCATGAGTGACCAAGACAGAGTTTTTCCTCACAGTATCTGACTATATCAAGTATACAAGTGATGAGAATAAAGAAAAATATAAATTTAGGAATTATCAGGTGATCCAATACCAAATTCTCTTACTAACATGACATGAATTTTGTGGCAGACAGTAAGGTGAATTGCTAATGAGATCTTGGGAGTGAAAGGGTTAATTCTACACTGAATTCCTCTAATACTCCATTTTACAGTTGTTCACAAACTCTATTACACCATGCCAACTATGGCCTGACTTCTCTATCACAACTAGGTCTCCCTTGTGCGATGCACAATGGGTTGAAAGTCAATTAAACAGTTTCTTCTATTCCGTCACTACATAAAATTCTACCCCTAAGCTATTTTCTAAGTACTCAGACTTAGAGAATATTCTCTTGCTGATGTATTTCATAATCAAAAATCTGATTCTATGATTGACATTTGATTTCAATAGCTTAGATTAAACAGTTAATAATAACACATTGTAATACACTGAATAGGAGAGGTTCATCATCAATAGATGGCCCCAACAATAGTTATTAAAATAAACTCAATTAACTCTTACTGGGTTCATGGATCTCTTTCACAACTGGTATCAAGGGAAGATCTTTCCATTGCAAAGTCTGAACTTCTTCACGGCCTTGAGGCACCTCTAATGCAATGATGGATGACAGCTTAGTTAGGAAAAATATAGCTGCTTGTCCATTCTTTATGGCTGTCTCTAAGTCACTAGAGTTGACTACTAACTTATCCATAAGCACTTTAGCCAGTGGTAAAACATGTGGGCCAGCAGCTGGAATAGCAGTGACAACATGTTCCAGAATCCGCTGAACCAAGCTGAAATTTGACAAGTGACAACTGATTGTAAAGGAAACATGTAATATTTGAATTAATTCACAGTCAGTTAAATTAAGTGAAATCAAATCACATTTTTTAACAAAGATCAAGAAAAAAAAGGGAGCAACCCAACTCAACTACCTTCCCTTTCTAACCTCACCACCAGCTCTTTGCCAGAAAAGGCTGAAAACTCATGATCAGCATAACCTGGCATGAACAATATGGTAGCATATAACAAAATGTCTGCAGCAACAACCACCAAAAAATTTCAAAAAAAAAAAGCAAAAAATAACAGAGGCTAATAGATTAGCAACAATTAATAATCACCCTATTTAAAACTCCCGAGATCTAAATAGTGATTCTCTACAATCTTTGTCATTCATCACTTATCATTTTAGTTCTAAGAATTCAGTGATCAATTAAACAGCTGTCATCCCTCTAGCTGATAATTTTTTTATTTCCCATCACCTTTCTTCTTGATGATGTATGGAAATTGTAAGGAGAAGTTCATGCTTTTTCACTCCTGGAGTGAAAGGGATAAAAGAATAAAAAGCAGTAAAATTTTCAGTTATGTTCATACTTACCTCCCATCTTCAATAGTCTCATTAACAAAATCTGGAAAGAATGACTCGAAGAAAGCACTCCCCTGAAACTTTTTCACAAGATTAGTGACTGTGTGTGACATATTTCTCTGGGCACTGGAGCAAATCTTGTCAACAATGGATAAAATTTGCATAGCCATTGGTGTTGTATACAGTGCTTTGGGAAGTTCCAGGATATATTCCCATAATGCAGTACATCTAAAAATGGCACAGCACAAAATCAGTAAGTCATGTCACAAAATTGGTATAAAGTCCCTAAACAAATTAATTAAGAACTTGTGACGCTTACTTGACTCTTAATCTGCCAAGATCTGATTGTTAATTTGAGAATTCTTGTTGCCTATTTCTGTAGGTAATAACATGATTTAGAGTGCAATTTGGTCTTAATAATTGAGTGCAAGTAATTTTTTCAAAGACGATAAATTTACTTTCAGTGCCCAAAACGGCAAGTGCAATTTGTAGTCTTTACAAAAATTTACAAGAGTTTAATTATTTATTATACCAAATTGCATGAGAAATCATTTTTTTACTTATCAATGATGTACATGACAAAACATTGCAGAAAGGTAAGACAGACATAAATTTACTCTCATGTTACAACTTTGCATTCGTATTACATGAGAATGCACTAGTTAGTTGTCAGTAATATGAATAATGTATGAAATGAATAATGTATGGATATTGTAGGTTGAAGTTATTTTTTAATCACTTCTGCTTAAAAACCAAAGTTCTAAGGAAAGTTGGCAATAAAGCTACAATATTTTGCTTATATTAAAAGTATAAGAGCACAATTCAATTAATAAAGTTTTGCCAAGCAACTGGCAAAAAATGTACCTCACAAGTTCAGTCACTGCAGCAGTTGAGCCTTCACTTGCAATCAAAAGGTTTAAAAATGACTCAATCTCAACATGATCACGATGGTAACACCTGGCAAAAAGACAGGAAAGAGATTTTTTGAAAAGTGGGAATGCATGGGGGGGGGGGGATTCTCTAAGATGCAGCAGGAGGGTAGTTCTTGGAAATCTTCATGGAGATATGCAGCCTTGTTCTCCAAATCCTGGCCCTACTTGAAATGAATTAACACATACCATTTTCCACATCACTTTTAAGACAGCATCTGAAAGCCGTGCTTGATAAAAAGCATGATGATTTTGCAAGTCAAAACCATCTAGTTCTCATTTGGAGAGTAAAGAAGAAAGTTTCTGGCAATTCTTATTCCAATCCATATGCTAAGGAATTATTAATAGGATAAATTAGTGAGCCAGTGGGTAATAATGCTACACTAACATAGAAGACTCCTTGTTCATTTACACCCAAATGCAATTGCTGATTTTTTATCTTGAAGAGAAGAAAGCTAAAACATGGTTAGTGTCACAGTCTACTGTCCTTCTTTCCCTGGATAAACTGATGATGCTTCTCGAAGTGATCTTTCCAATAATCCAATGGAAACCAGAGGTCATTTTTTCTCAAAAAGAAGGAATTTAGTTATCTAGTAATGAAGTTTATTTTGTATCCTGTACACTATGAATCAATTTTTCCAGGAAAATAAGATATCCCATATGGTGCTGCTCATTTCACAGTGAATTTATTGCACAGTGACATTTCATATACTTTTAGGATGAAATATAATTAGAGTAATGTAATATTGTTATAGGTGCAGAGATCAATCTCTAACAAGTTGTTACAAGATATCATGGTAAGATTGAAATTTATAACTGATATGAAC